GGGGGGGGGGGGGGGGGGTCATGAAAGCGCATCCCTACGACGGAGCGAAACGCCGGGTTTTCGCCCGCCCAGGACGGGGGCTTCGTCGGGGAAAGGGTTGGTTGGCGCCTAGGTCAATCACGCCAGGGTTTGTTATTCTTGCGTGCTCCTTGTCCCTATGCACTGCTGCTGTTAGCACGACATACACGGGCCAGTCATCCGACCCGGCGGGCTAGGGAGAAATAGATGCAAGGATATCTCATCGACACAATGAAACGCTCTCTCACCCGTCCGACACAATGCGCACGGTGCCCGGCAGGGCCGACTCGAACGCCGCGCCTCCGGCGGTGACGGTGAACGCGTCGGCGGCTGCGTTGATCGTCGTGTTGTAGTCGTTCGAAGAAACATAGAGCCTCCTCCCTCTGAAGCGCCAATAACAACACGGGAGCGAACGAACGAACGCAAAAAAAAAAAAAAAGGCATCACGCCAACAACAACGCATGCATGCATCTGAAAAAGCGATAATTCGCGTGCGCACCAACATACACACAGTACGTCCATGAACAAGCGAGCGCGTTCAGCGTAAAACCGAGAGTTGTGCGTTCTGATCCATGGCAAGCGCCTTGAGTTCCCTTTCTTGGTCCGTTGAGGCTCCCTGGGCTGTTGCGAAATAAAAACACGTCCTCAGCTGTGTGAGCTTGGGAACCGTCATACAGCAGGTGGAAAGCCAGCTGTGCGTTGGTCCTTGCTGCAAAAATAAACACCTGCTTATCTTGCATAACCCCTTGATGTACACTGCTGCTGTGCTCTCATGCGCCCACTCCGGAAAAAAATGGATCACTTTGTAATTTTAGTGCACATACATCTTCATACCTACGCGATCTCCTGTGCGCGCCCTCCGAGTCGTATGTGGACGTGAAGTCGTCGTCGCTGCCAAGGTACATGGCGAGGCCCAGGTCCGTCAGAGTGATGCCGAGAAGCCTGATGAGGAAGTCGTTCTGCGTCACGTGCTGAAAGATGGCGATCGTCCATCCCCGGCAGGCCTGGAAAATGTCCTGGAAAAAAAAGAAAAAAAAAAGTGGGTCAATGTGACCAACGATCATCTGTTCCTATTTCATCAATGGTTTTCGTTTGGGTTCTCACCTTGAAACAAAAAAAACAGTTAACGGGGGTGTTGCCTGTGCATTTGATTGCATTTGGTTTTCGTCAAGAATAAACAAAAGTATGTTCAAGTATACACCAACACGTATTAGGGCTGTCGTCTTGTACACAACTGTTCTTTCTACTGAAGAATTAATTGTTTTATGCAGACGGTTTCCTGCAAGACAAGGAAACGAATACAACAGTGGAAGCATGTGAAACCAAATATCCTTCCTAAAGAAGAAAAAACAGATTGTGCATGGACAGAAAAAAATCCATCGGGCGTACGCACAAAACACTCTACACAGTCCGCCGGCGGGCCTCGAAGGGACCGCCCTCGCGAGGACTTGATTATTCTTCTATGAAATAGAGAGGGGGGGTTCGTGGCCCTATCCCTTATCCTACCCCCACCCCGTACCCCTACAAAAACCAAACTTGATATCCCCGGGAAGGCTACAGTACCGCCCTGCAAGCCAAAGCCACCCACCAACTCAAGGACAAGCGGCGCGGCGGCGTGCTCAGCCGTGGTCTGGGCCATGTACAACAAGAGAAGGAAACCCACGTCAGAAATCAAGCACCACGGTCTACTTGAAGTTCGTTCGCACTTCACCCCCCGACAGCGGTGCTGCTGCTACAGCGGTGGCGCACAGCAGGAGCGTTTAACCCGGCAGGCTCGACACACGAGACACATGAAAAATACTCTCGTCAAAAGAACGGGGGCGCACTCATGTTTTGCATGTTTTCGTTGTTATAGACCAGTGACCACGCGTCGTCGAGAGAACGGTACTTGTTCCTACAGGACCGACCGATCACCGATGGCCAATCGTTCCCCTGCAAAAAAAATTCGACGAAATAAAAATCAACACTTCCTTCGGTCACCTCGTCTCCCTCGAAGCCCATGTCCGGCGCCACCTCCACGCAGCAGCGGTTGTGCTCCAGCAGCAGCATGATATGGAGCGCGAACGTGACAGGGTACTGTGCGGGGCGTTGGTCCGCCATCTGCCCGTGCCGGTGCCGACCGACCCCCCCCCCCCCCCCCGAACCCCCCCAGGAAAAGTCCCCCCCCCAAAATGGGCAGCGGCCAGGGGAAAGAAAAAAAAAAAGCAAAAAGGGCTCCTAAAAGGGGGGCAAAAAAAAAGA